CCCCGCCATTCCCCTGTGAAGCTGCCTGCAGAACCATGGCATCATGATCCTGGGCATTTGAGGAGCAGAACTTTAAGCAAGGAACACCTCCAGGAGGAAAGCAAGATTATGGTTTGGCGGGGGTGGGATAACATCCGGGACAGCGCCCGTTCCAGGCCAAGCCAGAGCCTCGCGATCTGGAGGGGACGCAACCCTCCTGCCATTTTTAAAAAAAATACCATTGATTTCATTTCATTTGTAACTATAAAAATCAGGGGCATACCTTGGCAAAGATCATCCTCTAGACTAAAAAGGGTAAAGAATGGCCTAAGGTCAACCATGTCCCGAGATTGAATGTCTAATCTAAACATTCTCTGTATAGAAAACAATCAACTGTGACTTACAGATTTTAATGATTTAACTGATCCATTTGCATCAAAAAAGCTTAAAAGAAACAGTTCTGACTTTGTATAGAACAGGGTTGGGGACGTGAGTCGAACGACTTGCTCAGATTGTGTGAGCAACTCGATTTGGACTTGATTTGGGAGCAACCAGGGTGTGACTTGACTCCACTCAAAATTTCTATTGATTGTGTGAACAAGTCGCTTTTTGGCTCAAGGGTGGTGGTGGGAGGGGGGGCAAGTGGGGGACAGGGGGTTGAGACGCAGGTAGTCCCCAGGTTACATTCTTATAGATGCACACACTGTCAGGAACCCCACACGGATATTTCTACTGAAAAGCCAGCAGTGACGTGACGTTTGGCAACACAGCACCTGCGGTGCTGGTGGGGAGGGGAGTGGTTACCGATGGAATCGCCTTCTTGAAGTCGGCCTGAGGGTGTTTGGCCAGTCATTACCTTTTTCTCACCTTAAATGGCCTGGTAGGTAGCATGCTAAAGGGGCACTGGCAGTCTTCAGTATCCCCAGTCTCTAGCTGAGGAAAAGATGCTGAATTGAAAGCAGGGAGAGAGAGACCCAGAACCTGTCTGAGTGGAATTTGACAGGCTTGATCCCCTGCAACAGGCCTGCAAAGATGACCCAATTCTATAAAAAGACAGAAAGCTCCAATTATTTTCTCTGTTTTGTTGATACATTTGCATTTGTTTGGAACGGAGGTATTTTATTGTACTTATGGTTTATTGTAAATTAGCAGAGCAACTCAGAAATATATTGAGAAAATGAACAAACAAAAAGAACAAACTACATAAAACACTTTAAAGTGCTCAGTGCTTCATATTCATGATCTTGTTACAATCTGTGCAAGAATGACAGTGAGCTGGTTTAACTCTGTAAAACACTGGTATGAAAGAATGTTCTAAGCTGTTTTAAGAACTATTTCTTTGTTTTCTTACAATACTGTATGCATATAGATTCTCTCTCACTCTGTCTTCAGTACCTCTAGTTACTTTTTATTACTGTATTTTTATCATTATTACAATGCTGTATTGTGTTTAAGAAGTTTTAGTGAATATGGAGGCATTTCTTAAGTATTTTATATGCATAGCAAGTGTTTCATATGCAATATATACATACACTAAGAGAAACATTTGGCTTACTCAAGCGATCTGACTTGCACACAAATTTGACTTAACCAGGGACTACTGATATAAGGGGAAGGCTTCAGGTCTTTTTGGTGCGCTTTGCTCTCCTCTGCAGGAAATGCAACCAGGCTTCTCCTACCTGCTGCTACAGCTCTGTTTCCTTGTGTTTCTGGGGAAAATAACAGTGCAAGGCCGAGGGACAATCGTATCAAGAAAATCAGTTTTCTTAATTGCAGTCTTGATAAATTCAACTAACAGTGCAGCTTTGTTTAAATAAATCATGGTTGGAGTACAAGACTTCAGTGCATCACTGAAAGAAGTGCAGATGGGAACATCAGGGGGCTTACAACTCCCCTGCCCCTCTCCAGCACCATCTCCCCCTTTTTCCTGTTAAGTTGGCTCCTGAGACTTGAGCAGAGACTTTGAAAATTTCTTGCAGTGACTTGAGAATGGACTCAGACTTGAAAGTGAGAACCTTAGACATGCCTCGAGACTTGAAGTAAAGGATGTGGACATATCACTGGTCTATAGTGTGATGTTATAACATGGCCATGATTCCCCGATGAACATTCTGTGTAAACATCTGCATTAATTCTCCACTTTTGCAAACTTATTAAAGGCTGTATTTTATAAACAATCTTTTTATCAATGGTAACATTTCAGCAATGTTCTACTTTCATTGAATAAATAAAGAAGAGAATGAGGCTTTGTTTCTCATTATCAGATGTGATTAAATTGGGGTCTTCCAAGTCTCCTCCAGTTGCCTGAATCTGGGCCAGATCAGGAGGGTTCCTCTTAAGCAGGGAGAGTTGGAGTGGATGCACGGGGGCATCATGGTGATCTTAAAGTGCGGGGGGGGGGGGGGGGGGGGAAGGCTGGACACAACCTTTGACCCACAGAGCACTCTTCTCCGCTTTACTTGCACCCTCAGACATTCCCCCCAAGCAAGCAATGGAGGGCAACATGGGGTCTTCCTCCTTTCTGATATAAACCATCCCAGTCCACACAGCTGCACGCAAACGTGCACATCAGAATGGACCTGCCCTTTGGATTTCACACATCTCTAAATTTGCGGCAGTTCTGAGCTGTCACCTTGCACGGAAATGTGTTTTGTTTCAACCTGCAAGAGCAGCATCCCCAGCAGGGAGCCGCCCACCTTCTGCATCAGCTCCCGCTTATGGGGCACTAGCTCAGGGGTGCGATGAAAGTAGCTGTCCTTTAGGACTTCGTTCCCATCATCCCTGGCCATGCTGAAGGAGACCTGCCCTCCGTGCAGCCCTTCCCTGCTGACCCGTGAGCCGGCTAAATGTCAAAGAGGTTCGTGGCACAGATATGATGGCTGCTTAGCCCAGAGTTAGCCCCTGTGGCCGTGACTGCAGGACACGGCAGCCTTTCAGCCACCCCACCACACCTGGGGCTGCATATTTGTCCCAGAGCTCATCGCGGATTAAGCAACCCAGCGAGCTCAGAAGATCAGGCAAGCCGGGCCACGGACTGAGACGGAATAGCACCCATCTTTCTTCCTTTTTTGCTTTGTATTAAAACCCAGACTTAGCCCAGATTTTCCCTCAAGGTGGGAGAGCCTGCTTAGATACCAGATTCTGTGGTGCAGTGAAACCCTGTACTTCTATTTCATGCTTCCTATAGGGCAATCTAGGCATCCATTCAGATGTTCCTCCCACCCAAAGGGCCCTTCCTCATGGCCACATTTCATGGTCCTGTCCTTTTACCCATTCCCCAAAACTGGCTTCCTTCACTCTCTTGGCAACTGCTTCAATGTTGCAATGTGTTACTTGATGATACTCTGTTTTTAATATTGCCCTTTACTATGTTAGGTTTGTGATCCTCCTAGAAAATGCTGTGAGTAGGAAATGTGAATACCCACAAAATGCATGTTCCTCATGGTGGCATCCCAAAGAGGCATTCCTGGCCTTGACTGTCAAACAGTTTGGTGCTTGTTTGAATCCCTTCTGTTTGTGTCTATGGGGAACTAGTTGCCACCACGAGAAAGAGGTACGACCGCCTGGATATTGGTTTCACATTACCAGCAAGCTTGTTTTATTTTGCTGCTTTCGATTGCATTCTTGCAGTGGGTGTTTTTCCTATGGTTTCTCTGAGATTTGCATGGAGGGCAGACTTTCAGTAGAGCCAAATGGATGAATCCATGAAGAAAGGCACAACCCTTCCCGTATGCAGACCGAGAGAGAAGTCCCTGTTATGCCCAAATCCATTGTGCTCTGCACAGCTTGCCGTGGGAGTCACCCAGTTTGTGCCCTTTCCCATTTCTCAGTTTGTATCCATGGAAAACATACCTGCTACCTGTGGCCAAGCTGGCTGGGAAGGACAGAAACTGCCGCGCAACACATCTGGACTGCACTGGGTTTGTTTATGTCTGCACTGTATTTATGCCCTGCCTTCTTTCTGCAAGGAATCAGGACAGCTTAAGATATTTTCTTCCTTTCCTTTTTAACCTTCACAAGAACTCTGTGATGTAGGTTAGACTGAGTCCACAAATGATGCAAAGTCACCCACTGGCTGCATGGGGACGAAGAGCCACAGTACAACTCTAACCACTACACCATGCTGCCACCCAAAACAAGCCTGTGAGGTAGCTTAGACTGTGAGCCAGTGACTGGCCACAGGTGATCCAGTAAACCACACAGCTGAGTGAGGATCTGAACTGGGATCTCTTGAGTTCAGTCTGGCACACTCACCATTTCACCACATTGCCTTTCAAAACAACCCTGTGAGGTAGGTTAGGCCAAGAGTGATAAAATGTCTAGAAGCCACTTGGAGAGCTTGATGGCCCAGTGGGACTTGAGCCCCAGCCCCCCAGTCCGAGTCCCAGCACTTGAACTACATGCCACGTGGGGTCCCAGTTTTGTTGCGGTGGATGAACGAGGTGCATGTAGAAGCATCTGCTCGAGGTGGGGCAGGAGCTTGGAACATGTATCCTGCGGGACCTGCCAAAAGCTGAGTATATTTATTCTGGGAAGCAGGAGATTAAAGGGAGACGCGGGCAGCGGCCTTCAAATATTTAAGAGGCCATCCTGCCGGAGAGGGAGCATGGCTGTCCTTCGTTGCTCCCGGGCAGGTCCAGGGCCAGTCGACGGGAACGGCAGGGAAAGAGCTTGCAGCTCGAGGACAGGGGAAAATGGCTCATGGCCACTGTAATGTGGAAGGCAAAGTGAGGGCGAGGCGCCATGCGTTCCCCTCCTTTCTCACAGCATCTCCAGATGCTGCAGCTATCCCAAGCCATGCAGGCCCTGACTGGGGGATCTCCACAGCCACTTGGAACACCAGACTCCACGCCCCTCCAGCACGCTGGGCCTTGGAGGCAAGATGTGCACATCTGTACCCATGCAATGTGAAAACCAAGCATGTATCCTATCCTCATTCATCCGAGAAGCCCAATAAAGGCCATCTCTGCCCTCCACACACGCCCCAAGTTCTAAGAGCATAAGAAAATTCTCCCCCTTACCTCGTAAGTGCTGGTGAGCCCCAGACGGTAAAAGACTGGCAGGAAGAGGTATGCAGTCAGCAGCGAGTTCAGCAGCTGACCTAGGCACATCCACAAGAATTTCATGCCATAACGGTATGCTTCGGCTGGCACTCCCAGCACCTGGATGGCAGACATGAAGCTGGCAGAGAGCGAGAGTCCCACTGGAATGGCAGACATCTGCCGGCCCCCTGTGAAAAAGTCTTCCGAGGTCCTTTGCCCACCTTTGGAGAGGGCGTAGAAAAGGCCGATGGTCGTAGAGATCAAAAGCATGAGGCCAAAGATGCCATAATCCCATAAACCAAAAGTTAGCACCTCTGCCCTGAACACCTCTAAATCACCTCCCTGGGACATTTTGCTGCCAAGTCCACCAATATACTCGGCAAGTAGGAGCAAGCTGAGAAGACTAAGAAATCCACCCAAGCACAGGAAGAAAAAAGAGAAATAAACAGCAAGGCAATGTTTGGGACTGAAACCCAAGTCCCAAGTCAGAAAAAGGTACAAAAGTTAACTCGGCTCAACCTGTCTTCCTGCTACAGAAGGACAAAGGAGAAATAAATTTGTTATTATTATTATACTCACTAACAGTCCATCAAAACAAAATCCAGAGTAAATTGCTATTTACAGACTGAAATGTGAGCTTGGAAATGTTCAAAACTGAAGGAATTACCTGCAAATGTGGGCTGCGAAAAGCTCCTGATACCACAGCAGTAAGAAGCTGAAAGAAGAACTTGGAAAACAATTCAAACTATTTCACAGACTAGAGTTCCAAGTTCAGAAAAACCAGAGGGTAAACTCATGGAGAGATAATAGAAATATGATTTTAAAAAAAAGCTAGAGATACATTACAAAAAATAATCCACACTGTCAATTTTTTTAAAAAGTCAATGAAGATTCCCACAATGGCTCTAAACCAGAATTAAACTGCTTTAGACACAGAAGTCAAATGCAGTCTTCCTTCATTTATCCTGCAGTTCAGTTTATGGAATATCTTCTACTCTTCTTTTAAAAAGGGGGAAAAAGTATTCCAACAAGTCTGGTTTAGAAGTTAAAATGTATTTTCTACGATTTCCCCCACTCAGAGAAGCAATAAAGAAAGAGATGCAGCAAAAGGTGCCTGAAAGAAACAGAAAGATGTGCACATATAAGAGGGGAAAATACTACCCCCACCTCTCTCAGAGAAGCAAGTTGAGAAAAGTTTTTGCCTTGCAGAAATCAACAGGAGAATGAGCATGGAAAGGAGAAGCAGAGACTCCAAGAGAAAGAAAGGGCTAAAGGAGAAGTGATTAAGCAATTTAAAATTACCCTGATTGCAAATACACACCCCAAAGAGAGAGAGAGGTGTTTGCAAAGCACCAGGAAAGATTCAGCTCCTGCACTTGTAGGGCGTCTTATTTAGCCAGGCAGGCACTGGGGTGGTGAGAGAGGAGGCGTCAGTCCTTTCCTACTTCATCTTCCCACCGCAGGGCGGGGGCGGAGGAGGTGTTGATCTCTTTGGCCACTGGCATCACTCTCCTGTTCCTCCATGTGTGGTGATTTAGTGGCACTTCCAGCTTGAAGATTGGGAAGCAGGTAGATTGGCTACTTTTCCTCTCCAGAAGTAAATTGTCTCAGTTCCAGAGCATACAGAAGAAAGAACATGTTGGACCCTAGTCATGATTATGTCTCCTGGCTGCACAATCCAGAGCATTCTCTGTGCAGGTGGCAGAGGGACAGGCGGACACCACAGTCGCTGCCTGTGCATCTTTCCACTGCCTGGCATGGAGCTGATGCTGGAGAAGCAGTTGGGCCACTGCGAGAGGACTAGCAGCAAGCTCTCTGGCCCACCTCACCGTGATGTGAAAGGCACTTCCCATCCCATGCCTTGATGGCTCATGCAACTTCCCTACCCAGCCGTCCCAAACGAGAAAGCAAAAACCCAACCTCAGCTGGAATGTGTTGTGGCTGAGCTGGAAAATTCCCCAGTTGCTGCAAGTGCAGGCAGCAAAAAATTCTCCCATTTCACAAACACCCATTCATTAATCAGGTGGAAGGAAAAAGATCAGCTGAGCATTCCATTGACTTCAGCAGGGAGGGGGAGGGGAAATACAGGCCATGAGGACTGGTGTCTTAATTTGCTGCCAAATTTGGGATCATGGCTGGAGGAGCGTCTTCTCTTAATACAAAATTGGACTCCAGAGATGCTCTGGGAGGCGCATTCTACCCAGGATGGGGCCACATGCACCCACAGCTGCCACGCATCCTGGTGTGCAGCTCAGATACTCAGCTCCCCAGTCCCTTGCTTTGGAGCAGCATTTCCATCCCTTAGAACTGGGTCAAGTTGCAAGCAGGGTGAGAAACCACCAAAGACCAGCAGCATGGCCTTCCAGGAAAAGCTGGCTCTGTGGTCCATGGCCTATGAACTCACCTCAAGTCCTGCATCTTCCCTTCCTGTCTCCAAGGACACTTCTGATGGATGATAAACCAGGAGATGGGAGATGCAGACATACATCCCAGCCATGGACATGCTCATTAGATCATATGCTGCACTAAACACTTTTGGACCTACTTCAGAGGAAATATGCTTAGCATGACGACTTCCAAAGGAGGAAGTCCTGTCTCAGCAACCTCTTGGAGCATCAATTAGCAGGTTTAAAAGGGAATCCAGGAGCGATCTGGGGAATTACAGGGCAATCAGCTAGAGACCAGTTCTAAGTGAGCTGCTTGAAAGCATGATTAAAGAGAGAATGAGTAAGCGCATAGAGGGACCAGCCCCGCTGAACAGGACTAAAGATGCCTTCTGCAAGGGGAAGTCCTGCCTCGCTGACCTGTGAGAGTTTTGTGAGAGTGCCAGTGTGTACGTGGGCAGAGGCGCCCAGTGGGCATTGTTTACCTGGTCTTACAGGTATATGAGGAGATGTCACAAGAAGGTGGGAGAGGAAGGCAGGACACACTCCAACAGAGCAAAGCTCAGGGAACCCAGGTTCCGTTTGGATGCCAGGAAGCACTTCCTGGCAGTCAGGACCCCAAGGGTGAGGAATGGGCTTCCATGGGAGGTGGGTGAGGCCCCATCGGTGAGGGTGTTCAAAGATAGGCTGGACATGCACGTGGTGGGCATGTCGTGAGCGGAGCCGGCTGGAGCCGGGGGTCAGACTAGACGGCCCGGGAGGCCCCTTCTGACTCGCTCTGTTTCTGTGTCCATCCAGTCCGGCGCTCCATTCATACAGTAGCAGTCCAGCCACCCACAGGATCCCTCAAGGAGGACAGTGCAAGACCTCCTCGTGCCCAGCATCGAACCCCAGTGACTGAGACAGCTCAGGGCCAGCGAGGCTCTTGGCCAGGGACAGTCTCCTCCTCCAGGAATGTGTTGGATCCCCTTTCAAACCCGCAGCCCAGTGGCCATCAGGGCTTCCCAAGGCTGCAGGTTCCACAGGTAAAGCATGTGCTCCGTGAGGCACTTCCTTCATCTGCCACCCATCAGCTCCCAGTCCCTGTGGTTTGAAGCAACGGGCAGGTTTAACAGGGACTTGAGAAGCCCTGGGCCGGACCAGTCCATCCAGCATGAGGCTGCCAGCACCAAGAACTGATGAGCCTTTCCCATTCCTGTGCTTTCTGAAGACAGCTGCTATCTGATGGTTAGATCTTTGGTCTGCTGAGCACAGCATAGCTCAGCTAGCAGCTGAGTGCCCTCAAGATGCTGCTCCCCATGCTGGCTGAGGCTGATCGGTATTATAGTCTAAAGCATCAGGCGCCTGCCCCATGGTCTCAAACAGGAGTCTGTGAAGTCCAGTGGTGTTTCCTACCTGCAACAGCTTCCTCACCTCTAGTCCATATGAGAAAGCAAAGATTTTGGAATCATTTACCGGAGATCAGTGGACTTTGCTCTCCCTGCAGAACAAACTAAGTGGTTTCACTGGGATTTCAGAGAAAAAGCACTTCCTTCTGCACAACCAGGATTTTCCCTTTCCTCATACTTCACTCCACCCTCCAAGTAAATGCTTCTCATGGCTCCACCATAGCCCTTTCACATGTGGTTGTGAGCAAGGTGCCCAAATCAATAAAACATTCCTAAGCAGTTGGGTAGGTAGAAAATGGGATGCTTAGAGGTGCCACCACCTGCAACAGTCTCTTCTTAAACCAGAGAGAGAAGTCTGTCAGTGCTGCAGGTGAACATTCAGCTTACCCCAGTGTGCTGTTACCAGGAGAGGACAGCTAAGTGCTTCCGGAGCAACACACAGGTAGGGCAAGGGGAAATGCCTTCACCAGTACCTAATATTCTAAAATCAGGGAGCAGAACCAATAGGCTTTGTCTGCTGTTTGCTACACAGCAAACCCAAATCCCACTGTTTCAGGAGGAAGAGGAGGCCTGGTGCCTTCCTTGTCTTTGCTGAGGAGATACTAATAGCCTCATAGAACAATTCAGGCCCCACACTTCCCAAGCGTAATGGGATATGAGGCTTCTTGCAACTTTCTGGTGTTCCAGATGGAAACATAAGTTGTCTGCACAACGTGGCAGCCCAAAGGACCAGCTGTAATCTTGTTCCCAGTGCTAACATAAGATTCCAGTTCCTCTAATGGATGTTTGGTTCTCATTTCCTGCATGTGAGATCTTAATTCATTTCAAACCCTTCTTTCATAAAGCAAAAAAGAATTGGTCTGAGGATCTGGGGCTCCCCTAAGCATCCCAAGTTTCATAACAATAGCTCTCTCACACCTCTGTTGAGTTCATATGGAAACCAAGTGAGTCAGGAGGGGTCCCCCAGGCCATCTAGTCTGACTCTCGACACAAGCTGGCTCCGCTCAGGTAATCCCCACCATGTGGGGGTCCAGTCTTTCCTTGAACACCCTCACAGATGGGGCCTCCACCACCTCCAAGGAAGCCCATTCCATGTCCTGGGGGTCCTAGCTGTCAGCAAAGACTTCCTGACACCCAACCTAAAACCTCTTCCTTGAGCTTTGCCCCACTGGAACACGTCCCGCCCTCCACTGCAGGGGAGAACAGGTCCCGGCCCTCCTCCACATGACGTCTCCTCACATACCTGCATGTTGCTATAAGCTCCCCTCAGAGTCTCCTCTCCTCCAGGCTGAAAAGTCCCAGTTCCCTCAATCTCAGCTCATATGGCATCCCTCCCAACCTGGCTTCTATCCTTGTAACTCTGTGCTGAACTGATTCTGAACTTGCTATGTCTGTCTTGCAATGTGGAGCTCAGAACTGGACACAATACTCCAGCTGAGGGCGCACCAGAGTCCTATAAAGCAGCGTCAACACCTTCCAAGATCTGGAAGCCACACATCTGGCTATACATCCCATGGTGGCATTCGCCCTCTTGACCGCCGCGTCACACTGCTGGCTCATGGTAGGCCTGCTGTCACCA